TTGACAGCAGCACGTAGGTCGTTTACATTTTGGGAAGATATTGACGTTTAATTTAACGTTAACGTTTTAGACATTTTGCTCTGCAGAAAGAGTATTAATTACTTTTTTTTCAAATAAATTATTTCTTCAAACTCAATACCTTAAAAATATCAGTGTGTCGGCTTTTACATGTGTTAGACTATATGAAAGTCAGAGTAATGAGTGAGCAAGGGATGATAACAGAAGCAGTGGGGGAACACGGCACATATACTCATAATATTTGTATTTTCATTTAACTCAACTTATCAAGTTTTTTTTTCTTTTCTTTTTTTCCTTTAGCAAAAATACATTCAAAGAATAGTTTCGGTGATATGTGTGTTGATTAAGTTTGATTGAAGTGTAGTTTACAGTTCCTTTTATTTCTTTCCAGAATAAAATGTATAAAGTGAGGAAGTAGGCCTATGAGGTTTTTTAATAGTATTTTATTCTCCTATAGACCAACATCACAACATTTAGGGAGGGCACATGCCCAGAGCTCTGTAAATTGGGAGTGGACACATTTCAGTGCCCGATGTGCCACAAGGCAGGGCCATACCATGCCCTAATTTCCCACTTACAAGGCCACCAGAAATCTGTTGTTAAATATGGAGGTAAGTTCAACCACAGATATTGACAAAAATTTTGTTAATACCAATGCCATTATCGATTCCCCTTATTGATCTGATTCTTTGTCAATTATGTTATCGATTTATGGTCAGTAGGCTATTCTATGTGGGGAAACTTAACTGTTCTATTATTGTCACTGTTAATCTTTTGACTTGCTATATACTTGCTATTTTCTTCCATTTTGTCTCATCAATGAGAAACAGAGCTCTGCAGTCCGAGGACTTGTGTACTACTTTATTGACAACAAAACAATAAAAGCTGTTGCTGGCTGTTTCATGTTTGATTTTTTTCTAAAATAAAACTTTTAAACTTTTGCGTTTTAAGGTACACATTTTGAAGATGGGTGTATGGTCATTTATTTTACTAGTCTTGTGAATTGTATACTTAATTCAAAAATATTGTAGCCTACTTATTTCTGAATAAATACATTTTATTTGTGTCAAAGGGCCAGCGATCTTTTGTGTGAACCCATAAGAAATCATCACCTTTGAGTGATATTTATGGCATGTGATGTAGTAGGCCAAGCTGTGACACTGTGGCTCTAGGTGTACGCAACCTATTTTAATTGAAATAACTGGTACTAATTATTATTATTATTATTATTATTATTATTATTATTATTAATAATAATAATAATAATAATAACAATAATAATATATATTAATTTTAGTTCGAAATAAACTTGTGTACATTAATCAAAAAAAAGGCTGCATGCACCAGATTTAGCAGAAAGCTAATTTTCATTTGCAGTCCTATTCATTTACATTGCTTTCTGTTTTTGTTTGTTTGTTTGTTTGTTTGTTTGTTTGGTTTTGTGTTTTTAAAAAATCTATATATTGTGTCAAGCACATTGTTTGCATTGGAAGGCATTGAATGGTGTGAATCAACCGTTAAAGTTGGTAAAATTGCTCCCGTTATTGCATTATTGCTTTATTTCCCTTCTGTTTACATTTGACATGCTGTGGAACCCCACAACCACGTAGGGTCATGTGGGCATAGTTTGTAGGGGCGTGGTTTGTAGGGGCTGTGCCTTAGCTCTGGCTGCAGTCAGACCCTTCTCGATCCCGCAGCAGTTCACAACGTTTCCGGCCTCACTTACTACTGCTCATGCGCACAGCCGAGAGCTATTAGTGTTACTATTATTTAATACCAAGTTTTGGTAATTTAACCTTTAAGTTGCAGCATAATGTTGCTGTGTCATTTTGATCTGCTCTAAATATTTGAATGGCACTGAGTGCACACTGTAGTCTAATTACAGCTCAAACAAAGCAGCTACAGTTTCACTTTGAGACATGCTTTTGGCTATTTTTTCCTTTCTTAGAAAAGCAAAGTCTATGCTTTAATAGTATGAGGCTTTTGATGAAGCCATCTTATACAAATGTACCCATGCAAATAGGGTATCTCCAAAGAAGTTTAGGAGGAGAGATGGTATTGGTATTGGTATCGGTATCGGCAGATACTCAAAGTTGAAGTATCGGTATCGGAAATCAAAAAGAGGTATCAGTCCATCCCTAATCTAGTGTATATGACATCCTGTCTGTGTATACTCTTGTTTCCTCATCTTGTTCATTCACATGTTCATTGTGATTCCCACAGTCCCTTCTCTCTGCTCACAAACTGCTGGAGCCAGTAGGATTGTTTTGGCTGAGGAGGAAGCAGCTGAATCACATGACCTGCAGTATTGTGTGTGCCTCAGTGAGCCCAGATCTGGGTCAGCCCCTCCTCCTTCCATGTCACTGAATGTAAAGAGACAGTTCAACAGCAAACAGATTTAACGATGCAAACAGAGAGCTGCTATTGTTCTCTGGACACGAACATCTTCAAACTGATTTGAGCTCACATTCACATTCTAATGATGCGGAGATTGGACAATCCGATTTTTCAGTTGTCACACAGCTGCTCTGGATATTGTGGGCCCCTCACCAAATGCAATTTTTGTGCATGTTGTCACAGAAGAATTTGTTTACTTTGTATAACAATTATTACAGCATATTTGTAATAATGTGGTGTTTTTGAACATGAAGCATTTTAGCTGTTAAATTTGTCCCAGCCACATACCTTTCAACACCTTCAACTGCCACAAGTTAATATAAAAGTTTTGGAAAATACACCTATTTCCTCTTTCATTCCATTTCTGTCGAGTAAATATAAGGGTACAGCCAGAATGCAGTTAGCTTATTGTAGCACAGAAATTGAAAACAAGGGGAAACAGATACAACAACAGTCAGTTCAGATACAATAACTTCTGCCTACCAACGACTTTAGAGCTTACTTATAAACATTATGTCCCTCTGTGATGTAAAAAATATGTATATCAACAAAAATGACAATTTGACATTTTAGAAGGGAATATTTGCTGTGCCTTCCTGACAGAGCAGTAAATTCTTGGAGTTTCTACTGATCATCACACAACTTATTCTGGCCAAGAAACAACCCTGAACTTGAATGAAGCAAATTCTAATTTTTACTTTGATTTTTTACATAAATTAGCAAACAAGACATTGTCCTATTTAGTAAGGTTTGTTTTGCTGGGACAATGAAACTGCTTCAGTGGGAAGTGTTTATAGTAACTTATGTTGATTTTGATTCTATGTAAAGATTTGCAAAACTTTTGTAATGTCACCCATAGGTTTCCTGAAGTTTGGCATTTTGGCAGTGGCTGACTCTGTCTGACTTCCAGCTAATCCAAAAATGAGGAAAGAGATGGAGTGCAAGAGGTGATGGCATCCACCAGTCATGCAAAACCAAACACTGTTAACTACATAAGTTTATGCCCTCCTACAGTTTAAACACATCCGTTTTATAAAAATTCACTACTGCACAGTCATGAATGGGAAAATTAGTTACAGAAGCCAAAACTGTTTTTATTACTGAACTGTTAACATATTTATTCCTGTAATAAGGTTGAACATTTTAACATGGAGTTCAGCTGGCACTGACTCACTTTTAAAGTGGACATTTGCAGCTTTTGGTAATACCTCGTTGGCTTCATTTTTCCACACTGAAGTTTGCAACCTGAGATTTTCAGACATACTGGGATAACTTTTCATAAAGACATATTTGTATTTTAAGGTTTGACACCGCTTTAAGTCAGTGAGAAAAAATGTTTATGATTTGACCTTTTACTAACAGCAGATATCACTAACCCTGTGTTCGCCTGTTCCAGTCCTGCCCACAACATGAAAGTTACTCGGATCATTTGATCTCTGCTATTTTTAGCTGTGTCTATTTTGAAAGCTGTGAGCGACTGATCCTTCATGAAGAGCGAGTCACTCCTCTCGAGCTCTGCTTCAAGACTTTTGTAAATGCTTCAACCCGCTCGTGTTATTTTACATATATATCGCTTGATATCTGCTGGAATTTCACAATCAGAGAATGATAATGTCAGTTCACATTGGTGAATCAGAGGATTGCAGCAGCTTTGATGGTGGAGAAGGTGAAAGATATCTGCCATGTTGTACCTCTGGACTCAACACAGCTAGATTAACTATTGTAGTTGGAGACAAACACTTCTCTGAGGAGAGACTGTTGCTTGTTCAGAGCTGTGACTATTTCCAAGCTCTGTGTCGCTCGGGAATGAAGGAATGTCAGCAAGAAGAAATCCACCTCCGGTCTCTGCATGCTCAAGGCTTTATTATCACCTTGGCAGTTTTACATGGTGAGATGCCCATTTTGGACGGAGATGATATTGTTGAAGCCATTGAATGCGGTGCTTTCTTGCAGGTGACATCGCTCACCAAGCATCTTATCAACCTCTGCGATGCTGACAACTGTTTGCTGATGTATCACCCTGCAGCAACCTTAGGCCTCATCGATCTTTACCACACTGCTGCACTGTTCATTCGAGACATGTACGCCGACCTGGAGGAAGAAGTCAGGAAAACCTTACCATTAGAGCTGATCACTTACGTAGAATCTTTGACGCCGAGTGTTTTCGTGGCTGTAGGGGCCCATGTGACTTGTTGTGTTGATGAAACTGTCCATGCTGCATCCAGGACGATCTCCTACCTGGATGAAACTGGCAACACCTGGAAAGTATTAATAGATCTTCCACTGGAGGCCAGCACCTCCATGGCTGGAGTGACTGTTTTAGACAACAAACTCTACATTATTGGAGGAGTTCATGGAGTCTACAAACAAATTGTGGACTCTTGTTTCTGCTACAGTGTTGAAAGCAGCAGCTGGAGCAGCATTCCCAGTCCAGCTCAGCTGCACTATAATCTGAATTTAGTGGGTGCAGATGGTTATCTTTATGCCATTGGAGGAGAATATGAGCAAACAGTGATGTCATCTGTGGAAACATACAATGTAAAGTTGCAATTCTGTAATTCCAACGGGCGCTGCAGGATACGGCTGCCTCACTAGATGCTCCGCAACACTAAACGTTTTTTTCCTAGATATTTTCTACTTTTCTTTTTGTCTTTAAATACTCTATGGAGACTTGCAATTTTAAAGCACATGTGGGAGCTAGGATCCTCATTTTTTCTCGGGAGGAGCTACTGGCTGTGCCGATGGCACAGGCTGGAATTCGACATGACATCCCGGCTGAGCTGAGAAGACGTTACCGGGGCAGCAAGGCTGGCGCTAGGCTAAAGGCTAGGTGAACAGACCGGAGGCGTTTCAAACTATCAATCCCGACGGCAATTATGGGAAACGTAAACGGCTTGCAGAACAAGATGGATGAGCTGTTGGTGCTGATCAACCAGCGTATCTACCGGGAGTGCGGCTTGTTCATCCTCTCGGAATCGTGGCTAAACCAGCTAACACCGGACGCTAACATGGACCTGACGGGCTTCGCTACAGTGAGAGCGGACAGAGATACAAAAGCATGTAGAAAAAGCAGAGGTGGGGGTCTCATCATGTATGTTAACAACCGCTGTAACCCAAGTCACGTTTCTGTCAAGGTTCTGTGTTGTCGGGATTTAGAACTGTTAGCCGTTAGCCTGCGGCCATATTACTTACCATGAGAGTTCAGTCACGTGATCGCGATGTGCGTTTATATCCCCCCGAGTGCCGATGCAGCCGCTGCCTGTGAGAAGATTCACAGTCACAGCAAGGCTGCAGACCCAACCTCCAGAGGCACTCATCATCATCTCTGGGGACTTTAATCACGCCACACTGAACTCTGCCTTGCCTACTTTCCACCAGTTTGTGAACTGCTCCATCAGAAACAACTGGACAATCGACCTCCTGTATGCTAATGTACGGGACGCATACAGAGCCACCCCCCTCCCCCCACTTGGAAAGTCAGACCACAACCTAGTCCTCCTACAGCCTCAGTACACCCCTCTGGTCAAAAGACAGCTGGCCACAACAACACACCATCAGGAGGTGGTCTCCTGAGGTGGAGGAGGCCCTGAGGGACTGTATAGAAACCACCTCTTGGGATGTTCTGTTTTCCCCCCATGGTGAGGACATTGAGGGGTTGACCCACTGCCTGACTGAATACCTGAACTTCTGTGTGGATGTGGTCTCTCCTGCTAAGACTGTTCGTTGTTACCCGAACAACAAACCCTGGGTGACGCAGGAGGTCAAAGTTGCACTCAACAGGAAGAAGGTGGCCTTCAGGAACAAAGACAGGGAGGCAATCAGAGCAGCACAGAGGGAGGTGAAGCTGTGCCTGAAGGAGACCAAAGACACCTACAGGAGGAAGATGGAGCAGCAGTTGAGGGACAACAACATGAGGGAGGTCTGGGAGGGTGTGAAAACCATCACAGGCTTCAGAACAATAGCCAGAACAACAGGGGGGACCGGACAAGGTGTGTCCACAGATGCTCAAGTCCTGTGCTGCTCAACTGGGGGAGCCGCTACAGCACATCTTCAACCTCAGCCTGCAGCTGGGGACAGTGCCCACCCTCTGGAAGACATCCTGCATCGTTCCGGTGCCGAAAAAGACCCGGCCCAGCGAGCTGAATGACTAGCGACCGGTGGCACTCACTTCACACCTAATGAAGACGCTGGAGTGGCTCCTCCTCCACCTCCTCAGGCCCCAGGTCCAACACACCCAGGACCCTCTACAATTTGCCTACCGGGCAAATGTTGGGGTGGAGGATGCTGTGCTGTATCTCCTCCATCGAGCCCACTCACACCTGGACAAGGAAAGCGGCACTGTGAGGATTCTTTTTATGGACTTCTCAAGTGCCTTTAATACCATCCAGCCCCTGCTACTGCGGGGAAAGTTAGAAATGATGGGAGTGGACTCATGTCTGGTGGACTGGATCTCCGACTACCTCACTGACAGCCCACAGTATGTCAGACTGAAGGACACCACATCTGACACAGTGGTCAGCAGCACAGGGGCCCCTCAGGGGACAGTGCTGGCCCCTCTCCTCTTCACCCTGCACACCTCGGACTTCTGGTACAACTCGGAGCTGTGCCACATACAGAAGTACGCAGATGACACAGCCATCATGGGGTGTATCAAGTATGACAGAGAGAGTGAGTACAGGAGTCTGGTGGACGACTTTGTTGTCTGGTGCAAAGGAAACCACCTGCAGTTCAATGCTTCAAAGGAACTGGTCATAGACTTCAGGAAATCTGGACCATGCCCACGACCAGTTCTGATTGAGGCACATGAGGTAGAACCTGTACAAAACTACAAGTACCTTGGGCTGTGGCTGGACAACAAGTTGGACTGGACATGCAACACAGACTACCTGTACAAGAGGGGACAGAGCAGGCTGTACTTCCTGAGGAGGCTTCGGTCGTTCAACATCTGCAGGAAACTCTTGCGGATGTTCTACCAGTCGTCGGTCGCCAGCGTCCTTTTCTACGCCGTGGTGTGCTGGGGCAGCAGCACATCAAAGAGGGACGCATCGAGGCTGGACAAATTAATCAGGCGGGCCAGCTCTACAGTGGGCATGAAACTGGACTCCCTGGTGACAGTGGCAGAGAGGAGGACACTGTGAGGGTCCTAGACTTTGTTCATTGTATTTTGGGGATTTTGTCTGTCTTTGGGTTTTGGTGGGTGTGCCTTTGTTCACTGCAGGCTGGGCGGAGCCGATCAGGGGAGATCCCTGGCAGCTGTGACTCATCAGCTGTGCCCGGCTTAAATACTGGCGTCTCACAGAAGACCGACGCCAGAGGATTGTGATACCTACCACGGGGTAACAGTCAGGCCACGAGCTGCTACACCGCCCTGAGCATGTCCAGCTTTCTTGATGTTCTCTAGTTTCGAGTTAATGGTATGTTTCTCTGCCTTGTCTCCAGTTCTCCTCCTCGGCTCCAGCACTCGGCACACCTCCAAGCTCTCCAGCGTTTTGTCACCCACGGGAATTCACTACCACGGACACCTTCACCGGGAGACCCTTCACGAGAGCACCCCCCCCCACGAGCACTGAACCCTGAGCACCGGACCCCTGCGCACCACCCCGGTTTCCCTCGTCACGGCTCCCTCTCTGCACGGGGAAAAACCCCACACACTTTCAGGCACCGGCTCGTCGTGCACCCCTTCCTCGGATCACAACCCCAAAGAACTTCACCCCACCACCTTCCTTAAATAAATCCTGTTTCCTTTAACCCTTCTCCCCGTCTCCCTTTTCGTTTGGGTCCACCCGCACTGTTACTAAGCACGAGTCGTCACAGACACTGAACAAACTGCTGGTGTAGCTGAGTAAATATTTTTGTTTTTTTGTATTTTATTTTTTGTGAACTATCTCAAAACTTATTGTTACATTTTCTGTCTAAAAAAAGAGGGTATTCCTGTGCACTGTTAATGTACTGATGACAGTTTTGTAAGTAGTTAGTTCCACATGACCTGTTGTAGCAAGGGGGGCATTAATTAATGAGGCGCACAAAGGCACATGCATGAGGAAGCTGCGCGTTCCCGGCAAAAGGTGGACGGCTTCTGTAGCGGTAAGACGCGTTGTGATGCTCTCTCCTATTGTTTCAAGCTAGCGAGTATAAAAGTTAAAAAATGTGTTTTGAACAGCATAAAACCATAGTGCGGACTTGTTATGAGTCTGTATATGATATTTACAGTGGGTTTTGTTTGACAAAAGTGATGTTAAACAATGTTAAAGTCGTCGGAGATTTCGCTTCATCTGCATGTTGTATCACTCGCTGCAGGGGAGAGACCGCGCTGTGGCCTGTAAGTGTGTGTGTGACGTGCCCTCTCTTGCTGAATCGCAGGTGCGTTCTGATGTGTTTCTGTTCATTTAATATGAATAATATAAATTGTACATTTTCATTGTGGATTCAAAATGAGAAGTTGTACATTGTTTTGCACAAAAAAGAAAAAAAGGTGGACGGCTTCTGTAGCGGGGAGAGACCGCGCTGTGGCCTGTGTGTGACGTGCCCTCTCTTGCTGCATCGCAAAAAATAAAAGAACTGGTCCCGATATCTGCCTGAGTGTCTGCCTCCATATGTACCAGTGTCCATCTTAAGTCTGCTACACTAGCCATCATGGACGATGCCAGCCACTGTCTGCACATTGTCATCATCGCCCAGAGGAGCCAGTTCAGCGACAGGCTGCTCCTCCCCAGGTGCAAAACCAACAGGAACAAAAACTCCTTTGTCCCCCGAGCCATCAAACTGTTCAACTCTGAGCTCGGGGGAGGGGGAGGAGCAAGCGGGTGGGGAGAGGAGGGGGGCAAGGGTTGAGGAGTGCGGACATTGGGTGAGATAGTGCATCATGCTCTATCACCTGACTGTGCAATATGTTACATGTATCTGTATATTGTAGAGATGCGCCGATCCGATACTGGGTATCGGTATCGGGCCGATACTGGACGAAATTACGGTATCGGATGATTTACTTCACAGTGGTAACTGGCCGATCCGATACCGCCACACACACACACAATCCTGCCTTCCGACACATCCACGTGTTCGTCTGCTCATTGGCTACAGGTGTACCGCCTCAGAGAGTGTCTGCAACCCGACTGGTCGGATCTGCAAGGGTGGAACTTGTCCGTACCGGGTTGACTGTCTGAGACACTCCATTGGCCCTTCAGGCTGTCACTCACTCACCAAAGCCCTCCTATTGGCCAAACTAGGTGTCAATCAAAAGCTGAG